AGCCGAGGACTGATAAAGTTATTTCCTTTTAAGTCTGTCTGCCTGTCATCTTTGAACGAGCGAAGAAGGGGGTTCAGAACAGATAGCCTAATAGCAAGCACTTCACGGACGTTCTAGAGCAGAGTTTCCCAATCTTTCTTGCTTTGTAGACTGGGTGGCCGGAGGGAGAGAGGGGATGGATCTGTGTAAGTGGCGTGCACACACGTGCGCACATGTGCAGCTCTATTTGCACAAATTGTGGGCATGTTCACCCATCGCTCATGCAAGTGGGGATGCATGTGTACACGTGTTCGTCTGCCACTTCCACAGCCCAGTTCCTAAGAGCTCAGGCCCAACAGTGGGCCAAAGCACAGCTGTTGGGGACCCCTGTTGTAGAGAGAAAATTTCAGGAACAGGACCCGTAACAGAGGTTTCACTTATGAATAATTATAAGGTTACATTCTGTTAATCATGCACATCCAGCCTCAAGTCTCTTTGGTAGTCTTCCTGATCCCAAAATTAATCATGCAGGAGAAAACTATTAAAACACTGTCTATGGAGGTTCTCAGTCAAGATTGTCCCAGAAAGTGCTTTTTTTCCCAACGGCAACTGGTTTTCCTTGATTTTTCTTGATGTTTCACTTCTCATTCAAGAAGCTTCTTCAGTTCTAACTAATTGGTAAGGAATGGAATGGATTTATATTTTTTGCAATCAGTCAGTTGTTAACGTTCTGAGGGTTCTTGGAATCAGCTAGGGTTAACCTGTGTCCTCATAGTCAACTGAATTAGGGAAATCAGGAACACATTAAGATAGAAGACCAAAACACCAGACACAAACAGGGCAACATTGTATATGCAGTGCAGTGCAAAATTGTACATTGGGGAAATGAAACAACTACTATGCAAATGCATAGCACAGCATAGGAGAAACCAATGCAACAGGGATAGAAATTCAGTAGTCATTCTGCATCTGAATGAAAAGAATAGTAAAGTTCACATTCTGAACAGAAAAGACCACTGGTTTGAAAAAGGAGTCAATGGGGCTATCTGTGTTAAAATTGATACCTCTTTCAAAGATGTGTGTGTAATGACAACAACTCCTGTTTACAATGCAGCCTTTCAGTTTGCACTCTGATTCAAGTGACTCTGAGGATACAGATTAACTCCCATCTGGTTTCAATAACCTCAGAGTGCTTACTGCAAAGAATATAAATCCTTTCTATTCCCTACCTGTTAGTTAGAACTGAAGAGGCTTCTTGGATGAGAAGTGAAATGTCTTCAAGAAAAATGAAAAATGAAGGAAGCCCAGTTGTAGTTTGAAAAAAAGCATTTTGGGGGACTATCAAAACTCTGAATACAGTTCATTCATGAGGATTTGTGTTTAGAACATATTTTTATGAATAGAATTAAGACTATTAAGACTATTCAAAGTTCCTAAGAACATATGCGTAAAAGCAACTAAAGTTTATCTAAAAAGTTACATGTTATTATGTAGGCAAGGTCAAACACAGGCATAGCAAGGATTTCACCCCAAACCAGTGGTGAAATTCAATTTTTTGTGGGCGTGGCTTGGTGGATGTGGCTGGGCAAAATCCCCATTCCCACCTCACTCTGGGGCCAGTCAGAAGTGGCATTTGCCAGTTCTCTGAACTACTCAAAATTTCTGCTACCGGTTCTCCAAAACTAGTCAGAACCTATTGAATTTCACCCCTGCCCAAAACTCTTTACTGCTTAGGATAGAATAAGAGTTTCTCTCTGCCTCATCTTATACCAAACCAAAACAAAGCAAGGTTATTTTGAGTTTCTTTCTCACATGCTCTTCTTTCTCAGGACTGATTAATCTTTTCCCAAAGTCTCCCCTTAACGTACCTACCTCCTCTACTCCCAAGGCAGGTCTACATTTCTTCAATCTGCATCTCTAAGTTTTGTATCTTCGCAGTGAGGAGAGGAGAAGGAAGTACAACTCCTGTGTAAAATAGACTAACAGGGATGTGTTAAGGGTCATCCAAAGGAGAACAACAACAAAAAAAAAAGAATTTGCCTTTAGTAGCATGAAAGGTGCAAAGTATTGATACTTTTGGAGCTGCATTTCAGCAGGCTAGGGCTTTTTATATAAAAATAAGCACGAGGTAAGGAGGCTCCCATGTTATTTGAAGTGTGAAAGAAGTTGTGCAATGTGTAATCTTCAGGCATAATCTGATACTGAAGTGAGAAGCAGACTGATAAGCAGAAGCTCTAATCAAGTAGATTAAAATTCAGGTGCAGATAGAAAGTAATAACATCATACACTATTCCTGGAAAAAGATCATCATCACTGTCTAGAGTTTTCCAGACTGGCAAGCAGCACATCTTATTTTAGCATTATGTGCCTTTTTCTAAATGGTATTTCATATAAGCAAATATTTGCCATAGACATTAATCCTAGTTTATGAGTAATTAACACACAATGCAAATTATATAAAGTGTAATAAATAAATGATAAATGCCTGTTACTCTTTTCTGAATTTTGAAAAGTAATGATTTGCTTTATTTTTATTTATTTATTTTGGTCTGGGTGCTTGTGGGCTTTGCCAGTTCATTCAGCCAGCCAAACGTCATGGTTCATTTGGATAATGATGAATATTGGACCAGTCAAGTTTCGGAATATAAAAACAAGCCCCACAGAGCCATCTTTGAAGAAAGCCTGGGAAAAATCTATCGAAACATGTACAGAAAAGCTTCCAGCTCACTTTCAAAGAATAAATCAAACTAAATTCCTAATAAGTGCTATAGAAGAAAATGAACAGTGTACAAGATCAGTATTTTTTAATTATGAAGATTATTATTTGTCTAATGACTGTATTTTTTAACGGAACTGTTTTTACATAAGTATGTGAAATTTTTGAGGCTGGGATTTTCAATACAAAAATAAAATCTGGAGGATTTTTATTACGATATATTGTTTTGTTATGAATTTATAGGCATGCCATAGTTTTAGTTTCTCATTCTCAAACATCAAATTTTCAATTAAGGAAAATCAAAGTCATTTGTCCGTGATTTTGCACTTGCACTATGCACAAATCAGTGATGTGCGGTGAGGTTTATGGCTGGTGAGACACTGACACAGGGGTTTCAATTTTTTTTAGACTTGTGGACTTCAACTCCCAGAATTTCACAGCCAGGCATGCTCAATTCCAATTTAAAGCGACAGCATTTGTTTTTTTCCTTTGCGAAAAAGTTTTCCTTAATTCTTTTTCTTCTCCCTCTCCCTCCTTCCTCCCTCTCTCCCCCCCTCTCAAACAGACACACGCACACAGAAAATTTGGATCCCCCTCTCTCTCTCTCACTCTCACACAAACACAAACACAGAAGTTGGATTGGATATTTTTTCCAATGGCTTGAAAGCAGCTCCTCTGCCATACGCCCCCCCCTTCCCCTGCTGNAATTCATACAGAAGCTATAAATAGGAGGCTTAAAGTATATCCACCTTAGGAACTGGAAGACATTCATATTTGGAAAGGTGAAGATAATTCCATTGCTGAGATTTGTGCAACCTTATCCTCTCAATATTTCTTTGTTATAGTAACTTAGGAAGAATCTTGTTTTCTGTGGAAGGGGAGGTTGTCAAGAAATTGATAATGAGGCACACAGTGAGGGATTCTACTTTTTTCAGCTTTTTGATTAGGACTAAATAGAAATAGTTCATTTTCTATGAATTATTCACAAGTGCCTTTCACTTCTAGTTTGGCATCTAGGGAAAAGTTGTCTTTGTAGACGTCTGATATAGAATAATAAATAGCTTCTAATTATTAAAAATATAGGATGTAGATTTTAATGTCCACATATATTATTAGTCTTAAATAAATCCTATAAAAGTCAATGTTACTCCCTATATTGCTGGGGGAAAGAGTAAACTTAAAAATAACTTTAATACTTTTTAAAAAGTAATTAATATGTTTTTACTATCAGATAAAATTAATATTTTTTAATTCTTTATTTCTTAGGATGAGACTTCTTTGTCAAAGGAAGAGTCTGCTAAGACAAGAGACTCCACTAGGACATTTGATTTCAGAAAAAGAGATTTTTCACATACAGATTCTTTAAACAGTAATTTTCAGAATAGGTAAGGTCTCTTTCCATTATTGTTTCCCTCTTCCCATTCCTCCTCCACCCCCAGTTCTCAGTCCAACCCCAGATTCTCTCTGAAATAACTTTAGACCTTATATGGTTAATATTCTGTGCATACCATAGCTATTAGAACATCTGTTGCTTTTAGTAGATGCAATTTTCTGCCTTTCTCCTTGTCTTTTGCTTCTTCCTGCATAACATTACTTTAATGGCATAATAGCCATTGTATCTTTGTAGCTTTCCATGTCAGTGTTATAACTGGGATAACTTAATAATGCCCAAAATTATGTAGATGTGTTTTTGATGCAGGTCATCCTTATATTACTAAGTATTGTTTCTTTGTGCGTATAAATAAAAGCCACACTACTATGATTTAGGGGTCTTTACAGGGCATTGATGTCACTGGAAGAATAATCCCTTTACTGTTTCAGTGGGAACATATCAAATTATACTCACTCCGACTGTTAAGTCATTTAAATTAGCATCAGTTACATTGATTAACATTCAGAATTTTAGGCTGGAGTTTTTCCAGTCGCCATTTTATACCAGGAATCGAACCAGGGATGATTTGTTTTTTATATTAAAGTTTCTCCTTTTAACTGAGAACCTAACCCATACTTTGATATTACCAACCACTCACGTATTCTGAATTTTTCTGTAATCCATATATGTATATTCTGATGCAGTGTGGGAGATGCAACACATTAATAAATAATTTGCAACTCTTACAGATACAACATCATTGAGAATAATTGACTTTGAAATGTTAATATTCAAGTAAGGTCAGGGGCTGATGGCTTTGTCTCATCCTCTAGGCCAGTCAAGCGAGTTGGGAAATAAGGAGGCTCAATGATAGTCTGACAGTTTCAGGTCTGAAGATGTCCTTATAAATAGCATGCTAAAGTAGAGTTCAAAGGAGAAAGTAATTTTGCTGACCAAATGTTCACACTAAAATAAATGATTGAAAACCTCTGGGATTTCCCAGTAGATATGTAGTGTTGAAATATTTAGTATGAAAGTGACTTTGAAAGGAACTTGTGAAACTCTAAAGGATATGGAACAAAACCATGTGATAAGTAGATGACAGGTATTTCTGAAAGTGGAGTCAGTGCCATTATCCTGCTCTTAATACAATTTCTGCTTGTAATCCCCAGAAATGCTTCACTTTAGCTTGTCAGAGTACTTTTCAGTTAAGATAGCATTTTTTCCAACATGGATGTAGATCTGTCCATTTCATTGTGGGATTCTTTGTGAGGAAGGGATGGCCAATGGCCCTGCATGAAAGTGAGTGCTGACCTTGTCAATATGCTGATCTGAAACCAACAAAAATCACTGCCACTCTTTGTAAGTAAGTCTTAGGGTGTGTTGTGATGACTAGTTTTATGTGAAGGAGCTTGAATTTGTTAGAAGCCGACTGAGTAATACGTTGGCAAATCCAGATTATTATGGATAGTTTTAAGTAGCTTGTTTCAAATGCAAGCCAGGAATGAAAGTGTGAAAAACTCAGAATTGGCTCGTACAGATATGTTTAGGGTGTAATCAACCAACTGTTGTCTTGATTAATACCTTACTGGTAAAAGCTATTCTAAAAATGTGGTTCCCCTGAGTGAAGAGTGATGAAACCCTTTATATGAAAGGGAGGGGCTAGGAATGCTGTTTCTGTTTCTTTTAAGTCACACACGTGCTAACTTTATTTATTTTTGTCTTCCTTTCTTACACTTCAATATCATTTCCTATCTTGAAGTTTGTAAATAAAATGTATTTCAGTATAATGAAGTGATATAAAATGGAAATAAAATGTTTAAAAATCCCTTTCTATAATATTTATATAAGAAAGACAAAGACACATATCTTCAATAGGTAAGTGTTGTGACTCAGCAGAAGTTTGCTGTGAGTTGAGTCGGGATGCAGGAATAACAATGCAGNCTTATAACATTAGTATTTGTATTTAGTATTTAATAAATTTATAGGCCGCCCAATCCCGAAGGACTCCGGGCGGCTTACAGAAAATAAAATTTAAAAACAATAAAGAATTCAAAAAACAAATGGCGTTGCTTGAGCAAATCATGGATATAGGTTGATGTGTTTGATTTCCAGTAAGATATTATTCCATCCCCTTCCTCCTTGGCACTACCAGCCCACCAAACCCTGGCAGAAATGGAATCATTTTGCTAGAGAAAATTTAGTGCCATTTGAGGAAAAATGATGTGGTGGTTGGAAGGGAGAATTAGAGGCAGAAGAAAGCAGCAGTGCCTTCTTTTGGAGGGGGCAGGGAAGCTGCCTGATACTTGGTGTCGTGCCACATTCTGAGAAGTGGAGCGATCAAATTGCAGAATGAAGAAAGGAAATCAAATCTTTCAGATTTTTGCCTGTGACAGCAGGGATAGAGTAACAGGCACAGGGCAAGCAGGTTTGCAGGCACAGCATGAATCGCTGCAGTGTCCTGTCAGTTGAAATGGATCAAGGGGAAACAATCTGTCTCAGCCAAGGCCTGCTCTTAGAAAACACAAAACATCAGTTTGGTGACTAAGGGCTTTGGGTGTAGCACAGTGATGCAGTAGCTTCAGTGAGGTCGGTGCCCCCCTCCCAAATTTTAGAGGAGGCTAAAGTAGGCATAATGGACGTATTTGACTTCTGAGTCTCTCCCTCCTTCTTTTAAAGATGGAAATCATTAGCCTATTAGTTTTGGCTGAACATTAGCAGCACAATCTTTGATGGATGGATGGAAGGCTCAGAAGACCAAACTATAAGAGCATGTAGTCTTTGGGCCATAGTTTTGTCATCATTGTAGATAATCTAACCTAGACGAAGAGAGATGGATTGCTATAAGGCAGTGCTCTGTTTTACCACAAGATGAAAGGCTGGGAAGAGAAAGCCATCCTTGATTTGCAGCAAAAGTTGGCTTAGATATGTGATTCATGCTTCACATATACATACATAAAATAATTATCATACACACCAACACAGCAATTATTTTCACACCCGTTCATATAGACATATAGGGAAAAAAAGAGAATCCTGAAATATGGCCTCAACAAATATCAATCATGCTTCCTCTGTTGTAAGACCCACTGAAAATAGTTATTTCTATTTTCAGGCATTGCATGCATGCATAGGCTTACACTCTCCTGGGAAATGATCTGTTTAGGCCAGTTAACTGCATGTATTCTGAAATGCAAATCCAAGAAGAAATCCTTGGGTATCAAACTTTATTTATTGGGGTGGGGGTGGGAGAAGTGCATTCACTGAAGGTTTTTATTTATTTATTTATTTTGCTGGCAGGCAGGCAGCAAAACAAATATTGATTCTTGGCTTTCGCCAGTTCAATTTTTTTTAAAAAGGTAAACAAAAATAGAAAATAATTACAATGAAAAGTAGAGAGCTACTTTTTCCACCAATATATGCAGATGGCAAAAGGTCCCACTAGACTTCATTAGTTGTACTGCAGGCCAAAGAGTAAATTTAAACAATCTTCTAACTAGTACTTTCAAAATGCCATTAAGTACTATAATAAAACGCCGCCGTAAAATTCACTACTGTTGGTACTTGTTCATTTCTCTAATCTCCAGAAAGTTTCTATTCCATAAGCAGAATCAAAAACATTAACCACATGAGTCTCTGAACTCAGACACAAGACTATTGAAGAAAAGGCTTGAGGGGAGGCAGGATAACTGAGGGACTGAAACAGAGGAGAGGGGCACCTTATGGCAGGACAAGAAGCAATGGTGGAAACTTGTTAAAGAGATCCAACCTAGAAATAAGGATAAACTTTCTCATGTAGAGAACAATCAATGGAATAGCTTGCATCCCAGAGTTGTGGGTGTTTCAT